ATGAAAAACTATTTGCTATTAACTGCCAAGTGGCTAGATCTGTTACACTCGGGCCTATAGGGCCTCGAACCTCTGCACTGTCTACAAAGTTATTGTTGGTGTGAGGTGATATCTCATTGTTGTTTTGATTGATATCTCTCTAATGGCTAATGATCATGAACACTTCTTCATATGTTTGTTGGCTGCCCGGATCTCCTCCTTGGTGAAGTGTCTATTCATGTTCAGTGCTCATTTTAAAATTCAAACCACATTTTAAAAAAACACTGTAAAGGCAACATTTACCCAAAGACAAAATTCAGAAGCACTGGTAATGAAGGAAGAATAGGAGCAAGAAGCACATGGAGGAAGAGGGGTAAGTGACATTGCAATGAGACAATTAAAATCATTGAGCTGGAATGGATTATATGATTTGTCCATCGTAAAACTGATGATCTGCTCTGTAAACCTTCACTGAATACACAATAAAGTTTTTTTAAAGTACTGTAATCTCCAAGCATATAAATATATAGAAAATCACATCTAGTGTAGTAAAACTGTTGAAAACAAAAGACAAAGACATAAATTTCAAAGGAATCAGAAAAAATACATTTATTTCAAAGATAAAATTAAATTGTTAGCTCTTTTCAACAAAATATCAGGAGGCAGACTGTAGCAAATATCTTCAAATGCTAATAGAAACTTAGAATTCTATGATCAGCAAATATATCTTGCAAATATAAAGGTATATTTCAAAACAGAATTTGTCACCAGAAAAGCAAGAGTAAAATGAATACTAATGGGTGTTCTCAAGTCAGAAGAAATATGATTGTATGGAGAAAATTAAATAAGAAGGAACAAAAAGCAACAAAAATGGTAAATGTATAAATAACACTGAAACCATAATGATCAGGTGTTTCAACTATATGGTGGTGGTGGTGATGTGCCATGGAGTCGGTTCCAACTCATAGCAACCTGTATAGGGTTTCCAAGGCTGTAAATCTTTACAGGAGCAGAAAGCCTCATCTTTCTACCACGGAACCGCTGGTAGTTTTGAATTGCTGACCTTGAGATTAGCAGCTTGACCCATAAACACACTACCAGAGCTCCTATATGTGGAACTGAAATAAAATAACATCAATATCATATAAATCAGGAATGGAAGAAGTGAAGTGAATGTTTTAAGTCCTTGCCTTGTCTAGGAAGTAGTGTGAGTACTAAATTTACATTAACTTTTAGTAAGTGAAGAACACATACTGCAAAATCTAGGATAACTAAAGTAAAATAGTGTATAACTAGCAATGTTATGATAAACAGCACAAGAATTTAAAAAAAAAGGGCAGGGAAAACAGAAGTCTCTACAACAACAACAAAAAAATAGTCAGTTTTAAATTCAATTATTATGTCAGCACTTAACATCCAATCAGGCAACGTCCATATTTATCTGTGGTCCAATAAGATTTAAATTTTTTAAAGGGAAAGCAGCTCTCCTTTTGCTTCTTATTTCCCACTACTTAAATCAAGCACTAACCCTAACCCTAAGGAGTCCTGGTGGTGCCTAATTGCACGGTTGGCAGCTTAAACCCACTGGTCACTCCTCAGGATAAAGATGAAGCTTTCTGTTCCTGTAAAGATTTACAGCTTCAAAAACCCTATGCAGGGTGACTATGAGTCATAATTGGTTAAATGGCAGTGAATTTCCTGAATGTTTTTAAAGACTCCAAATCCAGCACTTGATCATGGTGAGATACAGCAGGTGAGGCAGAGAACAGGGCTCTAAACATGTGCTCTCAGGCATTGTTTGGTAGGCCAGCAGGCAGTAGTAGGGGCTCCTGTAGAAAAGGAGGGCAGAACAGCAGTCGAATCGGACAGCAGGCAGCACTCATTCCTCCGGACCCCATCAGCAACTTCAGCAGCTGTAGCAGTGGTGACAACAGCAGTAGCGACAAGGAAAATAAGCAGCAGACTCCCATACGGTTTTAGTATGGTGTTTGCACAATGCCCTAATCACTTAGCATCCTATTTCATAAACATATCATAGATGTTAAGCAGCAAATACCTGTATCTACATTAAATGCAAACATGCTAAATTCTGCAATTAAAAGATAATTTGTCAAGCCAGCTGAAAACAGTTCAATCATATGCTGCTTTAAAACAGAACCACTTAAATGTAAGAAAAGTAATGTGGCGTAGGTAATGAGTTATCTAAGGTCTCTTCTAGGCACAGTCTGTAATTCCCACCAAACGTTTCTGCCCTACTGAATCTGGGTAAGAGAAGGTGAGAGAAGATGCTGATAGGATGACATGATTCAGTTGTGGATGTTAGCAGAGTTCATTGTAATTGTAAAAACTTGAAACTCCAACATGGGTTTAAAATAAGTGATCTCCAAAGCAGGCTGGGAGATCTTACAGTCAATAAAGAAGAGCCACGAGTGGAGTGTGTTCTTTGGACCCCAAAATCTTTGTGCAATGAATCTCTTCTACCCAAGGAAAGTAAAGCTGTGACACTGGAGAAGGGGCAGAGGAGCTGCAGCAGCAGAACCAAGAACCAGAGCATGAGACAGAGCAGTGATCTTCCCATCCCATGGAGTAAGTAAAGCTAAGTGACTTTGGACAGGAACCTTGCTTGTAGAGTGGGGTCCCTCCAGGCACTTAAGTGGGGGAACTAGGTTTGTTGAATCACGGAGCTAGAGTCGAGTGCATTCAGGCTGAAGCTTATGGTGAAGTAGTATGTCCGGTGGGCATTTATCAGCAGCTGACTGACTGGAACAACTGTACCTTGAACATTTTCTTACCTGGTATTGTAACCTGTCCTGGTGGGTGCTGTAGCATAAGTACTGACTGGTAATCATAAGGTCAGCAGTTCCAACTCACTAGTTGCTCCTTCGAAACCCTATACAGGGTTGCAGAATCAACTCGATGACACTTAACAACAAGTTCCCTAAATAAATCCCATAACTGAATACTGTCTTTGAGTTCTGTGTAGCCACAGCAATGAATTATTGAACACAGTGGGAGCAGAAAGGATTGTGGGAGGAATGGTTTGGTTCCACATATATTTTGTACTGTATTAATATCTGATATACATTTTAAGGCAAAAAACATAACATAAAAAGAAGTGTATAAAGTTTCAATTAACCAGAAAGAGCATAACAATTCTTAATTTTAATATGTGTAAAAACAAAGAATCAAAACATGAAAGAGATAGAGAAAAATTACCAATTATTCAAGAAGATTATAATACAGTTCTTTCAGTATCTGATAGAGTAAGAGCTGATAGAAAAGTCCATATACATGTAAAGAGGATTGGAAAAACAATTTTAAAAAACATTACCTTGAGAACAAACAAGATGGCGGATCGGGTGGATGTGTAGCAGAGAACTCCACCAACAACAACACAGAATACCTGACCAAGCAGGCTCAGGAGATGGTCCCAGAACTCTGAACCACATATAAAGGAATACTTAGAAGGTTGG